TAGTGAAAAGGCTGCCTCTCTTAACTCTCCCTCCCTCCTCTGTACTTCCCCCCCTCCCCCAAGAAAAATTAATAGAAGCCAGGGTGGTGAACAGAATATGGGGCATGTGCTAAGACTCTGTCCTGTGAGGAGGCTACCTTTCCTCTAGTTTTCTCAGTTTGACATACCCTCTTCTTTACTCTTCTTGCCCCTAGAGGAGGAGAGAGATCACCTTACAGATCTTTTGCCACTGCAAAGTCAAGCAGCTGGTGTCTTTACTCAAGGACTGGGTTATGTTGACACCAGCTTCTTGCAAGTTTATGCTCAGACTGGCTCCCAGCCTTGCTGAGCTGTTCTGTGTATGTGTGGGTTTTTTTTTATTTGCCTGCTTTGCATTATTTGAACCTCCTTTTTTTTTTAGCTGCACAAAGAAAATACTTTTTTTCCAGAGGGGAAGCAAATGAATTAAAAACACCCTTGTTGCTGATAAATCACACTAGGGGTATGATTTTGTTTGTCAAAGCACAACAGTATACAATTCCTGTCTATTGTCACCCCACAAAACTGTTATCAAGGATGCTATCTCCCCCCCACACACACAAGTTGAAGCAGATGGATTTTCTAGGTATTGACCCGGAAGTGGGAGATTCAGAAAGATCCTGGTGTTTTTGTTTTTGGTATGTACTGTAGTTCTTGTTCCTGTTGCTTCATAGGAAATAAGGCTAAGTGGTGTGTAGGAACAGGGGGGAAACATCCATAAACAAAGGGAAGTTCCTGTAGAGGAAAGTAGGAGTAAGGTGACCCCTGTAAAGATGACATGGGAACTTATACTATGTTACATGACCACTTACAGCACATAAGTTGCCTATCTTGGGCAAGGGAATTCCTGAATCCCATGTCACCTCCAATATTGCCCTGGGCCTTCCCTAGCAGTTGTACCATTAGCTAGAATGGGTGAAGGAGAGAAGAGACAAGGTCTCTGCCTCTTCTTGAGTCAAGCATTGTGGTGCTAACCGTGGGGGGAAAGGACCAGGGTGATTAAGTGAACAAGGGAGTAAGAGGTGGCCATGGCTGTGTGGCACCCTAGTCATTCTTTTATGCCTATGAAAGATACTTTGGGGGAGAACCCCAAAATGTCTTAGTGAATGGACAGACCCTCATGTGACTATTGCTAACAACACGGAAACCTCTAAGGTGCAGGAAGAATGATTACTGTACCAGAACAGTAACTACAAAAAAAGAACAAAGTCTGAGTCCAGTGGCACCTTTAAGACCAACAAAGTTTTATTCAAAGTATAAGCTTTTATGTGCAAGCACACTTCATCAGATATAATGAAATGAAATATCCTGAAGCCCCACTTACAGGACAAAGATCCAGAGGAGCTAGCTGTGTTAGTCTGTTGCTGCAAAATAGTAAAAAGCCCAGTACAACCTTTAAGACTAAAAAACTTTGTTGTAGCATAAGCTTTTGAGAAACACAGTTGCATCTAACAAAGAGAACTGTGTTTCTTAAAGGCTTATGCTACAATTAAGTTTTGGTTGTCTTAAAGGTGCTACTGGGCTTTTTACTATTTTACAGGAAAAAGGGTAGGGGTAGCCATTGGGAAGGGCCAGCCACAGCCAAGATGCATAAGTAGAGCTGAAATTGGATCAGGTGGCCAGTAAGGTCAATGGATGGCAGAAAATTAGCACATAAATGCAAGGGTTAACTCAGATGTGAGAATGAGACAAACCAAGCTCAACCCTGGTACATTTGGGAACAGGGACTCAGCCTGTGCACATTTCTTCACATACACCGAAACAAAAAAAAAAGGCATTCGTGGGAAGGGTGTCCTCTTATGTCTAGTTCTTTGACGATGGGGAGGACACGAATATTGTTTAAAGTGTGGGAAATCTGTATGTTGTATAAGGCTTCCAAAGGATAATGGTATTCCTTGGCATTGCAGGCGGCAGGCCTGTAGCCAATGGGGGGTGCTGTGGGTGGCAACGCCTATAGAATCTTCAATGCCCCCACCCTAATCTTCTTTAAGTCTCCTTTAAGTTGCCATTGCTGCCCTCTTTGCACAGATCGCCGTTTCTCCTGCCACCTTTGGAATAAGGCTTGAAGCTGGACTTGTCTTCACTGGGTGGATCCGCCAGCTGCTTGAGGGCACTGGAGGTGGCATGGCTGCCTGATTCTTTGTCCGAGCTGGCAGCACCCATCACGAGGCTCACCGCTGTTGCCCCCACACTTACAGCTGCCAACACCAAACAGAGCACAGCTGGCCCCTGCCACGGATGCAGGATGGTGCCATGGGGCCATCAGGCTCACCAGCAGGCCAGTAGCTATGGTGGGGTTTTGGGAGGCTGTGCCCCCTTTCTTAAAGGTACAGCCCCACAAGTATTTCTCCTGTAAATGCGTTTTTCGATCATTTAAAACATTTTTAAAAGGTGTGCACTCCTTTAAGCAGAATGGAATTCTGTAGTGGACTAATTCCTGCACTGAGCAAGGGGGTTGGAGTAGGTGACCTATCTGATCCATTCTAAATCTCTGTCGAGAAAAAATCTCTTTCCGAGAGTTTTTCTGCCTAAGCGTTAGCTTTCTTGACTATAGAAGTCACAGGCTGGCTTCTTATCAGAATTGTTGCTTAGGCTGGCAGAAGTGATTAACTTGCAGCAGCTGAGAATTGCCATCTGAAGTGGCTAACAGTTAACAATTTAGAGATCTATCCTGGTAACAGTATTCTATTGGCTAAATAGTTAAGAACACCTATGTAGAATAAACAGCTTGAGAAGAGTTAGAGAAGAGACTGCTTCAAAGCTCTCTTCAACTTCCACCCTGCTGCTATGTAGTGAGTAGAATAGCCAGCTAGGTTTTTTGTTCCTGTTTGCATTCCTTGCTGAACTGTATACATCCCCCCCATCTATGTGTAGTTTGTTCTTTGTTTTTGTAAATAAAGTTGTATGTGTTTTTATACAAATTGGAGTGAGTTTACTGGCCAAACCCAGATAAGTATTTCCAGTGCCACAGCTACCATCTACCAGAAAATTTATTCTCTCCCCCCCCCCCCCCCACAGAAAATTTTTTCCCCCCCCCCCCCCCCACCTTCTCAGCCTGCTATTGTCACACTCTGGGGCTAAAATTTGCAGAAGCCTCTATGCTTTGATTTTAAAAGGCTTGATTCCACAGTAGCTGAGTCAAAATCCTCAGAATTCTGGCTTTTCTTTCTGCGCTGATAACTTCAGCCCCACCAGAAAAAATTTTGCCCCACAAGCCACAAATTCCTGGCCACGGGCCTGCTCACTGGGCCCCTTTAAAGCATGCTGAGAAAGGGGGGGCTGATGTGTACTGATTTAATTTAATTTAATTGGCTCTCCCCAGAAGAAATTCCTGGCTATGAGGCTGGTGGAGGGGGGAGCATAAATTGGCATTTGTTCTAATGATATGTTTAAAATCTGACAGCTAGTTGCATATGGAAATGATGCACATAAGAGCTTAGATTGACACACCATTGTTATGCAAGGTATCATGATGTTAATTTTAAAGATGTGCTTCATCTTAGAGCCGTAGTTATTCTCAAATATTGATGAGGTATTGCCTGTTCTTTGTGTTTTTAATTGACTCTTCTATTGAAATGTCTGTTTTCCGGATATTTGGTGGCTCATCTATTCCAGGAAGTAACCACCTTTGCTTTTTTAAAAAGCCCAATTAACCAGAGTTAATTTAGTAACATCATAAGGACCTTGCTTTTCATAATGTAGCATTATGATTTATATTTTACATATAAATATTCAGAGTGCTTTTTACATTATATAGTATATAAAAGCCGCATAAGGTGGGCTGTATTACGTAGCAGACAAAGAGGTAGGATGCTAAGAACTGGTGACTGGTGGCTTGCTTAAGACTGTTTAGTTGGGGGAAACTCTAATGCTTTGTAGCAGTGGTATGTTTCTCAGGATTTACTCTTAGCCTTAGCTGTCTGGAGGTAAGTAAGCATTATGATCAAATGGCCAAGGGGGGTGGGGTGGATAATAGATAGTGAGGCTGTAGATTGAAAAAAGGGCTGTCCCAAGCTTCAAAAGATACAAGAGAGGTGATGGCATGGATTGAAGTAGTAAACAGAAATTCAATCTGTGTGGATAAAAGGACCGACAAGAAGCTTTTGGTATTAAGCACGCAAGAGTAGACATTTTCAAATGTTATAATCATGCATACCTGGAACAGGGTTGCCAAGAACGGTCTGGCAACCAATGGGAGAAAAGGAAGTGGGGACATGGGGAGACAGCCATCATGCTTCTCTAGGAATCACTGGAAACTCTGTGGTTTTACTATAGAGTTTTCAGTGATTCGTAGAGAGCTGTGACATCCCTTCGGGAGGAATGGAGACCGGCCTTTGAAGTCATGTTACGCAGTTGGCCCAGTGGCCATTTTTTTAAAGAACTTCTGCTTCCACTCTGAATAGCAGTAGGAAACAGGAGCTGGGAGCGGGGAATCCCCCACCCCTATTTAGGGGGCTGGCTACCCTGACTTACATTGGGAGTGGGTGCTGCCCACAATCCTCCCAATATTCATGCATGTCATTTTGTCTGAAATGAGCACTGTGTATACTTTTCTGCTTCATTCTTCTGGCACGCTTCTGGTATGCATGGTTGGATACCCCCAAATGGAAAGAACTAGTTAGAGGATGAGGAAGTGGAGATAAGGGGATGCAGTAGCAATTTCCGGGTTGAGTTCCCCTGAGTTTCAAGGGGGGGGGGAATACCTTAGCAAAGGTTAGGCTGTATGGGTTGGGATTTGTAGAGGTGGCATAGCCATTCAAAAATGTGATAACAAATAGAAATGGGAACTACTCAGGAGGCCTGTAGGAACAATGGTTGCATTTGCATGTATCTCTTTCCTGAATCAGGACCCAAGATGTAATACATAATTGGTCATAAACTATATTTTATAATCAGATCATGCTGTCTTTTCTTCTTAAGTCTTTGATTCTAAAGTCTCTGTTCTAAAATGTATTTTTAATATTTTAAACTTTCCTCCCCAGAAATTTTATGAATAAGCATCAGAAGCCGGTGCTAACAGGCCAGCGGTTCAAAACTAGGAAGAGGGGTAGGCTTGATATTTCCTTTTATTTCTCAAAATTACTGTAATTACTTATGATTTTATAAAATATAGCAGGGTGGATAAAAATGAATGATTTGCATTTGAGAGCATATTCCTTCCATTTTACAATCTCTTCAAGGGTTGCCAGCTTGTTTCCAGGATCTATTCAAGATGTTGCTACCTCCCCCCAGTTTTAAGGTACAATCAGTTTCTGCTTGTTTGTGGGTGTTTGTCCCCCCCCCCCCAAGTCAGAATAACGAGACAGACAACAGTTTGCAAGTAAACAAGGGCCAATTTATTAAACATTGCGCCATGGGACTAGCTAAGCGAGCACAGAACAGGCAAGGCAGGTGTCATTCCCCTGACCAACCTCCTTGCCCTTTTCTTGGGCGTGTCACCCAGCTCCGGTCTTGAGCCATCGGTCTGGCTCATGACCGGCAGCCCAGCAAACTGGTTGCCACCTAGGAGCGCCTACCCCTGAAGCCTGACAACTTGCAGGGAGGAGCATACCCTAAGAGATTCCCAGAGGAGGTGATCACCATTCCCCACCCTGGACCTGAAAATCCAAAGGCAGTTCCTGATGACCCCCTGTTCCCTAATGGGGAAAATGCTGTAAGGTGCTCACTGGTTCCGGTTTCTTGCCCGCACCAACCTGCCACAGCCAAGACTGAGCCTCTGCTTTGGTCTTTGCTCCCACTAAAAGGCCAAGACTGAGCTAATCCCTTGCTGCAAGTCCTGCAAAAAGAACCCATTGCCCTTGTCAGACAGGTGCACCCCGTCAGCCCTATACAGGTCATGAAGCTCGACCCGTATGTCAGGGTGCGGCAAAAATAGCCCTAAACCACCCTCCATGGTCTTCCTCATTCATCTGTTAGCCTTATGCCTGGCACAGTCAATGCAGTGTGGGTCCCCCAAGTTACGCCACACCTGGTGGGGCAGAATAGCCGACCAGACTATCTGCACATTGGGCCACCTTGCTCATATCATTGCAACGTCCGCCGTAGCTTGTAACGCATGGGCCATGCCCTTCATCAGACCCAGGTCATTACCCCCTAGATGCACCATGAAAACGTGTGGAGGAGGCCCCTGCCTCTCTTCGAATAACAGGGAAAGGAGCGCGGGCCATCTCATGCCCCTCCTTCCCAACCATTTAATGACAGCCCACTTGCTAAGGCCCAGCTGAGAACCGATGGGTGTCCTCCTGGCCCAGTGAGCGGCCCAAAAGACCATGCTGTGGCTGCAGACGGTGACTCGTAATCTCGCCCCGTGACCTGCAGCATCTGTAAGAGTAACCCTGTTAATAACTGAAACATAACCTTTGCAATCCCACATGTAACTCCTGTAACAACGCGATTTCCAGGTACCTATCTGCTGATTTTCACTATTGGAATACCCCATGGCTGCCGCTGTTGAAGCTGCTCCAATCCGGAAGGAGTGGGTTCCAAAGCGGAACCCGCCTAATCCCAATCGGACCAGCGCTTTCTGGGTCAGGGCACAAAATTCAAACTTGGTGAGGGGAGTGCCATCCATGTGATGAAATAAAAGGCCTACACCCTCACCCCACATGGCTAAATACTGGCGTAGAGCCCGCACCAGGCATAGCTCCGCCTCAGAACACCGGCCCAGCTCAGTGACGGAACCCCTGCTCAGCTGATCAGTCTTTGACCGCCAAAGTGTGATCCACTGTACCTTGAGCCCCATCAGCACTGTTGGGATCAATGGCTCCCTAGAGTCTACCACCTTGCCACCCTCCCTTGACCAGCCCTTGAGCATTTTCCTAATGCGGAAGTCACCCGTCTTCTCCTCAAACCCCGATGCCTTGCTGGCATAGGTGAGAGATGACAGCTTGCCCCTAATGGAACGCCCTTACCTCTTAGTGACACACAAACTGCATCAGATGGGCCACCGGTATGGGCCAACTTGTCTCAGACCAGCTTCCTCCCTAAAGGCCAGAAACTGCTTACCCGCCCTCTTATATGCTCTCCAAGTTGAAGGGGTGAGAGCTAAACTTATCACCTGGTTGGCCTCAGCCCGCCAATCAGCCACACCTCTGCCAGCATCCGAACCAGGAACTGGTCAGCTTCTAGAGCCAGCTGGCGGAATCTTTCCATCTGTTTTCCGGAGAGAGCGTCAGCAACCCCTTTACTGACCCCCAGGATGTGCCTGGCCTTGAACAAAATATTTTTCTGCAAACAGCGGAGTGTGAAGGCTCTGACCAGGTCCATGACCCTAGGAGACCTGGACATCAATGAGTTAATCACATGCACTGTGGACAGATTGTCGCACCAGAAGTGGACAGTATGGTTGGCAAGCTCTGCAGACCAAATCCACACTGCTACAACAATCAGAAAAAATTCCTAGAAGCTGAGGTCCTTGACCCATCCTGGCTGGAACCATTCCTCGGGCCGGTCCTCAGCACACCAATGTCCATGGAAATAGACTCCAAAGCCAGCTGAGCCAGTAGCGTCAGATGTGGCCTGCAGTTCAGCTTTGACTAAAAGGTCTTCCCGCCAAAAAGACACCCCATTGTATGAGGCCAGAAATTCTTTCTATACAAGGAGGTCGTCCCTTATCCCACTGGTGACTCTGGTCCTATGGTGCGGGAGATGGAGACCCTTCATGGACTCACACAGCCTCCTAACAAACACCCAGCTGGGCGCCACAACTTTGCATGCAAAGTTGAGGTGGCCAACCAGTCGCTGCAACTCGAGCAAGGTAATCTTGCTTGGAGGCCGGGAGCTCCATTCAAAATGTTTTTATAGTTAAAGCAACAGCCGGTATTCACTTTTTAAAAAAAATCAAAATAATTGATAATATTCTCTTAAAGGTGATCTCTCTTTTTTCTAGGTGATTTAAAGGCCAATTGAAATCAGTCCACCCTGCAGGGTTTCATGCTGTTTGTCAAACTTTTAAAATGAATAGTAGACTGTACAAAATGTAGGATTCATTGTCAGTACTTTACTGGAAATATAATTAGTAAATATAATATGGGAAGTTCAGTAGAAGACACTTTTATAGTAGTATCCATTTTACCAGTATGTTCTTAGGACTTTTCTGCATGCTTGATTTACTGAGATTGTCTTGGCAGTCTATCCACAAGCATTGGAATGGGTTTGGCCATGGCTGTTCCACATGTCTGCCTTCCCTGTGGATTTTTACAGTTGTGGAGTCAGTTAATTTTCTTCTGCATGTGCCTTTAATAATGAGGATTTTTAAGGGAGAGTGTTGATGGTGTCATTGTTGGCATCACAGCACCTCCATTTTAAAAAAGCAGCACTGAAATATCAATATATCACTGGAGCATTGAAACAATAACCTTAGGAGGTTCTCTGAATTCCCAGCTTTCATTTTTTTTTTTAAAGTAAGTCTGTCTCCTTCCCTTACGGAGATATCTTTTCCCCTGATTTAGTTATACCAGTTTAAACCAATTGAATCTCTTACCTTGAAGAGTCTGATACACATTGCTTTCTTCAACAATTTTTGAGGCTTTTCTTAAAGGTGCAGGATCATGAAAGTCCAATGCAATTAAAAGGAAACCTTTTAAAATACGGTTGATCTTGCATCTGGGTGAGTGGGAAAATCATGCATGTGGAAAGGTTTTAAAGATACATGGAAAGGGATGTTAATTAAATAAAAATTAAGTTCTGTTCATCATGAAAAAAGTTAATTGAAATATTTTGTGACTCCTCCATAGTAGAGACCAAATAAAGGCATAAACATCCCTTTTTTGGATAGTCTTCACCCCGACCCCAGGTCTAGCTCAGTAACATGCCAAAACCAGTGCTCCTTTGGAAGTAAACTCCAGGAAAACTGCCATGAATATCCTCATTCTCAAAGAATCTACTTCCTGTTTATCACTACACTGAGGAACCCAATGAATGTAAGGAAGAAAAACAAGGACTATGTAACGAAGGTCATTTGGTGCTCATCCAGTAACTGTTCTGAAAGCAATAGAGGAATAGCCATATAGACTTCATACAGTGATTAGTGATAGTTTTCTGCTGTAGATGAAAAGGAGAAATTTGAACCCACGGTCTTCAGGGATACAATTGTCCAAGGCCTCAACGAAGCTGGTGACGACCTGGAAGCTGTAGCCAAGTTTCTGGATGCAACAGGATCAAGGCTAGATTATCGTCGCTATGCTGACACTCTCTTTGACATCTTGATAGCTGGCAGCATGCTGGGTAAGTATGTTGGATTGAAAATGTTAACACTTTCAGAGCTAATACCAGTAACAAGGTGCACATGCCATCTCGGTTTCATGTTTGGCAGATAATATTAGCTTCACTCCCTTCTTGATTCTGGCATTATTTTTGTTTGTTTCATATTGTAAGCCTGTATTTTTTAACATTTTGACAAATGTTATGATATTTATGAGTATTATAATAGAAACTAGGAATAAGGCCCATTGTGGAAATAAATACAACGAGCTCTAGAAAGAGGCTCTGGGCGGGTGCCCTGGCCTTGGGCACTCAAAGTCAATTTGTTGTGGCAACCTCAGCAGGGTATAACAACACAGAGTCCACCATTTTCTCTCTGATCTCTGCCACCTGAAGAGCAGTTGTAATTCTGAGTGATCTCCAGCCCTCACCTGGAGATTGGCAACAATGGTTCCCCAGGAGGAAATGGCTGGTTTTGAGGGTGGAGTCTATGGCATTGTACTTGTCTGCGGCCCCATCCCTCCTCAAACCCCACCCTTTTCAGGCTCCACCCCTCAAATCTCCAGGAATTTCCCAACCTGGAGGTGGCAACCCCATCTCCTTCCCAGCCAACCATCAACCTACCTTTATCTGCCCCTCTGGCTTCAGTTTTCTATCTCCTCCCCCCCTCCCTGCAGCTTCTACCTAGGAAGAATACAGTCTTTCTCTGCAGTGGGGACCAAAGCAGCTCACATAAATCTCCTCTTCCTCTTTTGATCTGCACAACAACCCTGTGCAGTTGGTTAGGCTGAAAATCTGTGACTGGTCCGAAATCACCCACTCAGCTTCCACAGCAAGAACCTGGATCTGGCAGACCCTGCTCTGAAGCACTAACTGCTATGTCATAGGGTGGCCAGCTCATCAGGGCATAATGACACAGAGTCCACCATTTTCTCCAGGGGAATGGATATTTGCCATCTGGAGAGCAGTTGTAATTCTGACTGATCTCCAAACCTCACCTGGAGATTGGCAACAATGGTTCCCCAGGAGGAAAAGTACAGGCTTTCTCTGTAGTGGGGACCAAAGCAGCTTACATCATTCTCCTCTCCCCCTTTTGATCTGTACAACAACCCTGTGGGGTAGGTTAGGCTGAAAGTCTGTGACTGGTCCTAAATCACCCGCTCAGCTTCCACAGCAAGAACCCACGTCTCCCCCAGGGAAGATAACTGCTTTGGAGGGTGGACTCTATGGCATTGTATTCAGCTGAGGCCTCTTCCCTCCCCAAACTTTGGCTTTCATAGACTCCAGCACAAAATCTCCTAACCTGGAACTGGAAACCCTAGTCAGGACTGGTCCCAATGAATTCTCCACAAAGGTCAGTTCAGTTTATTTCTACAGTCCTTAGACCAGTCATACAAAAAGAAGTACACCTTTACAATACAAAGGTCAAAGTAGAAAGGACCTCCTACCCATGCCTTTTTACTGACAGAACCAAGCTTGGTTGCCTAGCAACAGCCACAGAGGGAAAAGTGTCTGCTACCCGAGTTCCTTGAATGGGAAATGTTTGAGATTAAACCTGAGACCTTCTGCAAGCAGAGCATATTCTTGCCACTGAGCCTACTCTCCAAGTATCTCCATTACCTATAAAAATAATGATTTATGCAGTGGGTACATTTATATATGGATTATTTCTAGTTTAGAAGTCATAATGATCATATGAGTTATAGAACATCTGTAATTATGTTGTTTGTCTCTCTTTAGCTCCAGGAGGGACAAGAATAGATGACAATGATAAGACCAAGATGACCAATCACTGTGTGTTCTCTGCAGATGAAGATCATGATGCCATCCGACATTATGCTCAGGTCAGGGAGTAATTGGAATGGATGAATGGACCACAATTTTGCAGGGGTCTTTTGTACACCAATAGTTTATAATGATTGCTGACAATTGTTGATATAAGAGTGGTACAGCAGGATTATCAATCTGCTTCTGGTAGTACATACAACTGGTCCATAATATTAAAAAATGGAAATCACTCCAAATTGATCTTTTTTATTACTATAGTTGTAGTTGGCGGCCTGGTGATTTGCCTGAAATAGTGGGATTAACCTATTATGAAAGAATTTAACTAAAAGTGTTGATTTGTGTTTCTTTCTTTCTTTCTTTTTTCTTTTTAATTTTTATTAGTCAATAGTACAGTAAACAACAATGGGATTTGGTATAAATATGACCAACACAAAATTACATATAATAAAATACTGCAACATACTGAGAAGGAACAGCAAATTTAGAGGTGTCATTATTGAAGACATATTCTAAAAAAGGAGACCATTTCGTGCATAAAGTAGATTTTGAACATGAACTATTAGTAGAGGAAGCCACTGCATCAGAGAGTTTATCCATGATGTAAAAGTCCCAGATTTTTAAGCGCCAAGAGGAAAGAAGAAGTTTGTCGGTGGATTTCCAGCTACTCGCAATAACCACCTTAGCAGCTATTAGCAGAATCGAAATGAGGTCTTGGCTGCATTTGGGTATATGAGGGGCATTCCATAAATCGAGTAATATTAGTTCAGGTTGCAGTGGTATCGAGTGCCCGGTTATATTTTTTGATGGAAAAGATAACCTTGGACCAGAAATGCTGAATTTCTGTGCACCCCCACCAACAATGAAAAAAAGTGCCAGGTTCCCCACAGGAGCGCCAACAAAGAGGGGAATTGGCTTTGGATATCTGATGGAGTCTCATGGGGGTGAGGTACCATCTGATTTGTGTTTCTGAGTTCTAAAGTAATGGTTAAATTGATGCCTCTCTTGCTTATATTGTTAAAAAGTTCAAAATTTGAATACAGCATTACTGTCAGTAAACTGCCATTTGTCTTCTGTGTATGCTCTGTGTAACCTGCCTACTGTATGATGGGGGGGAATTAGCTCTGTTGCTCTGCTCTCATCCTCCCTGTGCGCTTTATCTCTTGTTTTGACCTTGGAATGCTTTTGCTGCCTTTGTAGTAAGTAAGACTGTGAGAACCGTTGATGAGGCCGTTCCCAATCTGGCTGGTGTGAACCAAATGGCTGAAAGGCTATCTCCTGCCTTGGTTTTTTCCCACTCGAATTTCTGCTAAGCATGAACTGTATTAATTGGCTTAACCCTTTTTTTGAACTGTCTATATCTGTACATGCTTGGCTTTGAGTTTCATTCCTGACAATGACCATGAAAGTGTATTAATAGTGACTTGTATTAAAGCAACCTATTCTTATGAATCGTTGTGGACTGCAACTCCTCTATTGAACCTGACAATTACTAAGTAGACTGGTTTAATGATGCTGTTGATTGGGAGTTAATTATTTAATGTTATCAGTGAATTATTAAAATTCATGGGTGTTTTAGATTTTCTTTAAATGCCAGAAGTTCTGTTCCAATTAAAGAAAACAACTTTTTATTTTTTTTGTCATGTAGAAGTCGTCTATTTACTTCTATCTATTCTATCTAATGTATTTACTTCTATCATAGATTAATTAAAAGTGCATTTTATAGGCCCTGTAAGGAGAGCAAAGGTCTGCTTTTCCTGTTAACAAACATGTTGGCTATGTCTTATATTTAGGTCTTCAATAAACTTATCCGGAGGTATAAATATTTGGAAAAGGCATTTGAAGATGAAATTAAAAAGGTAATATTGCTGATCTTCTAGTAATATTCTGGGGATTGATTGCAATTGTCTTTTTGATGCAACGTGGACAGAATAATTAGCTACTCTAGGGAACTGTTTGCCCAGGTGCGACATGGAAAATTCCCACTAAATGATAGAGCTGTTGTATTTCCATACATATGCTAAATAAATCAGGATGGGAAAACCCTTTTTGTAAAAAATAAAATAAAACAAAAAACACCTTCCATTGGAATAAACAGAAGAGAACCCTTTTCAACCACAAGTATTTTACAGTGCATATAACAATTTATACAGAACTACATCTGGTCCATGGACTCGACTGTGTGACTGAACAACAACAACAACATCTGTCTGCTTTATACAAAACTAATTATCCTGATAATCTCTGCTTTTACTTAAGTAAAAAGTAAGCATTCTTAAGGTGCAATGCAACTTGGAAGTGTGTAAGTAATTTATAGTGTAATCTCAAAAGTGGAGGGAAATGAATTAGAGGGAAATGAAGTGGGATTTTCTATGTTGAAGGACCATCTGTGCCTTATGTAGTTATGTGCTCCTTAATCCTGATACTCAGATGCAGAATCAGCTATGTGGAACAGCAAATGCATGCAAACATGTATGCTTTAAATAGTGTGTGGAGGTTGTAGAGTTCAATTTCTTTAGTTTAGAATTCTTGCTTTAGAATTAGGAACTTTGCGTGAAAATAAGTAGTTTATGGATAGTTTGCCCATTTGATGTAAAAACTGTAAAATCATTTTCACTCGCTAAAGCTCATACTTCTCATACCTGGGACTCAGTTGAGGAACAGCTGGGGAGGGGGGGAATGCCTAGAAAATGACGTATATAATAAGAAGCATTGGTATTTATATTTATTAAAACATTTATATCCCATCTTTCCTCTTGGTTCAATGCAGCTTACGTCCCCCACTAAAAAAACAAAAATGAAATAACAAGCCCCAAATCTCTCCCCGCTTCTCCCCTTTAAAGATGCCTGCCATGCATACTCCCTTAAAAGCCCTGGTAAACAGGCAGGCCGTGCAGTGCCTCCTGAAGATCTCCAAGAAGGGGGGGGGCTCACCAGGGAGCCCAGTCCACAGAGCCAGAGCCCAGGTCCTGGTCAATGCCAGAGAGGCCAATCTAAGTCTTGGGATAGCCAGCAGATGGTACCTGATGACGGTAGTTGGCACACAGGGACATATGGGAGGAGATGATCCCTTAAATATGTTGGTTCTAATTAGTGAAGGGCTTTAATGGTCGTAAGCAGCATAGGAGTAATCATAAAGACTAGGAAATATTTGGAGGCATGTGCAATAAAGTACACAATATATCTTTATAAATTTTCTCCCATTTTTGAGTTGTGATTTCTTTTGAAAATCAAATTGCCATTTTGTTCTATTGACAGATTCTTTATACTCTAACTCAATTAATATCCCATAGAATTTAGCCAGCAACCCTTTTGATATTTTAGAATATACCATTATGTGTTTATGAGTGTTTAAAGGCTGGAAGATATCCACTTGTAGATTTTTAGTTTGAATATAAGTTTTAATTTGCTCCCAAGATGTTATTTCAAGCGTTCTTAAAACTTAATGAAACCATGTAGTCCAGCCTCTATCCAGCTTGCAAAGATACCTGATAGTTTAGCCTATCCAACTATTTATTAAAAATAAGCAGCATAAGTGTAGAAAAGTTGGGTGTCACCTGTTGTTGTTTTTTAATTTGTCACAAGCTGCATTTCCTAATGATTGTTATCTACTTGGAAAGAATCCTGACAGGACTTCCGGTTTATGAAGCAGCAATGACAGTCGCTCTCCCTGAACCGCGGGAGGGCGAATCGCACACCATTGGCCTGGAGGGGTGTCACCTCAAGTGACACCCCCGCGGAGCCTTTGCGATAGGCTTCCGGCCAGAGGGCTTTTGAGGGGTAGCCTCTTCAATGGCATAATGCTGGAGAATCGAGGCTCCCCTCCGCCCTGACGGTCCAGTTGCTGTGTGGCCTTTGGGCACAAGCTGGTTTGACCGTGACAAGCACCGGAGATGGAGCGGAAGATCGTTAAAACGCAGCGTGGTCAGATAATCTGACCAACAATTAACGTGAGTTCTGAATAAAATGGACTTTTTTCAAAAAGCGGATCCCTCCCCCATGCGGAAAGAAACGGATGCGAATAACCAATAAAAGACGCAAAGGGGGAAAGAGGGGAGGAAAGTAGCACGTGTGTTGTGAGAGACTTACTTAATTCTTGACATCGGGAGCAAGTTTCTAGAGTTGGGAGAAAGCAGTGGGAAGTGTAAACAAATTGGAAAATGGCGGCCCAGCGTGCAAAATTAAAAATGAAAGCGCCAGGCAGTCAGAGTCCCAAACCAGAAGAGGGTGCAGACGTCATTAAATTACTAGCGGATATGCTCAAGCTGGTGATGGAACAACTCGATGGTATTAACCAGCAACTGACTGTGATGAATAAGAACTTTGCATCTCAACAGCTCCAGCTGAATGAAACGGAAAAGAAAGTGGAGCAGGCTAATGAGAAAATTCAAGAGATGGACACCACAAGTAAGAAGTTGAAGAAAAGACCGGGAGAGGTGGAAATAAAGCAAAATCTTCAAGAAAACCATGTATTGCAACCACAGATGGAAAAAGCCAGTATGATTCTCAGGTTCCAGGGAGTCCCTGAGGCAGCAAAAGAGGACCTGAGGAGTTTGCTTAGTGAGATTATCACTCCAGTTTTACAGTGGATGAACTAGTAAAAGATATGGAAGTGGCCTATAGGGCATATTCCAATTATATTTAAAAAATAGTCTACCTGGAGAAATTGTAGTCAGATTCTCAAGAAGACAGACCAGAGATGCTATTTTAAAAGCAACATCAGCAACTCCACTGGAAATGGGAAATGTGATGATTAAGACACTAAAAGACATTCCATTTGAAATTCGGCAAAAGAGGAAAAATTATAAAGACTTGATTGCTTTTCTTCAAACTAATGGAATAACGTACAGGTGGGCGATTCTGGAGTGTCATCTTTAAGATCAACAATAAAAGAGAGAAGATAGACTCCATTTTCAAGGCCAAAGAGTTTTTGTGGTGTCAGCTTGGAACAGAGGAAGAGTCTAAGGAGGAAGAAACGAAATCCAGTGACTCTGCTACCTCTGGAACGGAAGAAGACTCTGCTACAGAAACGGGTGCCGAACCTGCCAAAGTTGTCTCCAATTTTAGAGACAGAAAGCCAAAGTAAAGGCAGAAGGACTGGGAAACTGGCCTTTTGAAGCACAGAACACGGAGATGATCAGAAAGCTCTCTCATAACAACTAACATAATAACATAGAAACATGGAAGATGAGCAGGAACTCTACAAGTATATTGTGATACTAACACTTGTGGCACTAACATTTACATTAACAGAAATAAGATCTCCTTCTCTTGGGTTTTTAGTTTAGTGTGGTTATCTTTCCTTTCTCCCTAGTTGTAGCTCCTCTTCCTAATTTTCTTTGCAGTTTGTAGTCTAATGCAAAATAAAAAAATATCCCTTCAGGGGTTTCGAAAAAAAAGAAAAGACAGAATCACGACATTTGGATATGGTTAGCTGCTCCAGAAGAGGAAATAATTTGTTTTGGAATCTGTTTGCCACCTCTTCCAAGCTACGGTTGTTGTTTCTCCTTATCTTTCTCCATTTAGGATCTGAGAAGAGAAAACACTTTGCCATGTTGGTTGTCTATCACCATGGTCTTAACCAGCAGTTGGGCACTGTGGTGGGTGGATTTCAAAAGACAGAGAATGAGCAATAAGAATGAAATTTTGTAAGAATCCTGAGGGATATCTTAGGTGCTAGTAGACTAGAGGATGCTTAAAAGATGGTGCTGCAGTTATAACCTTTTTCTTCGAATGAGAAAAATGAGTTTGGACCTGTGCATTTGTTATATATGCTGTGCTTCTTGTATTCTGTTGTGGCAGGATTTTTGTACATTTAGCAAAAATATCCCAGATCATCGCAGACTGTGACAGCAGCCATGAAATTAAAAGACGCCTGCTCCTTGGGAGGAAAGCGATGGCAAACCTCAACAGCATGATAAAAAGTAGAGACATCACCCTGCCAACAAAAGTCCACATGGTCAAAGCAATGGTATTCCCAGTAGTCATGTATGGCTGCAAGAGTTGGACTATAAGGAAGGCCAAGCGCCAAAGAATATATGCTTTTGAACTATGGTGCTGGAGAAGACTCTTGAGAGTCCCTTGGACTGCAAGAAGATCAAATCAGTCAATCCTAAAAGAAATCAACCCTGAATGTTCCCTGGAAGGCCAGATAATGAAACTGAAGCTCAAATACTTTGGCCACCAAATAAGAAGGGAGCACTCCCTGGAGAAGACCCTGATGCTGGGAAAGATTGAAGGTCAAAGAAGACGGGGACAGCAAAGGATGAGATGGTTAGACAGTGTCATAGATACAACGAACATGAAATTGAGCAAACTTCAGAGAATGGCGGAAGACAGTAAGGCCTGGCGTGATCTGGTCCATGGGGTCACGAAGAGTCGGACTCGACTGTGTGACTGAACAACAAAAGTGCTTAGTACCTTTTCTATATTCTAAGCCTAAATTTGCAGTTCTCCCTATTCCACTAACCTGGTTTTACTTTTAATTACAGTAATCTGTTGCCATGAGTAATCCTGACCCTATTGTGTTAAGTACCAAAAGCTCTTGTTCAAGCCACACTTTTTCCTTTCCTCCTCTACCTTCACCCCACACACTGACTTCATCTAGAGATCCTTAACTGCTGAGGGTGCTTAGCAAAACAATGGCAAAGTCCTTGGTGTATATAAATGCAATCTTGTTTTAAGGCTTAGGCTTGGAGTTCAGTGAAGAAAATCACTTGACGTATGTCAAATTTAGTTTTCTGGCAAGCCTCTGTAAAACATGAATTTCATACTGATAGCCCCCCCCCCTTGAATAAAATGAACTTCAGCTGAGGGTTGTTGAAAGTTCTGTACAACCAATACAGTGAACATGCATATC